CAACTGTGTGGGAAGAACTCTGTGATCCTCATGGGGAGGACATTGACAGTCTCACTCACTGCATCACAGACTATATAAACTTCTGCATGGAGAACACTGTACCCACCAGGACTGTACGGTGTTTCTCCAATAACAAACCCTGGATTAATCCAGACATAAAGGTCCTTCTTAAGGAGAAAAAGAGGGCCTTTCAGTCTGGAGATAAGGAGAGACTGAAGACTGTGCAGAAGGAGCTGAGGTGGAAGATCAGAGWGGGGAAGAACCGCTACAGGAAGAAGATGGAGGATCAGCTGCAGCMGAACAACSTCASCGGAGTCTGGAGAGGCCTGAAGACCATCTCAGGATACAGACAGGCTGACTCCCAGGCTGAGGGGGATCAGAAGTGGGTGAATGACCTGAACCTATTCTTCAACAGGTTCGATCAGACAGCTAACCCTCCCCCAGCCCAGTCGTCCTTGCTGCAGCCCCCCTTGTCGACACACTCTGTATTTCCCCTCTCCACCCCCCCCACCCCCACTCCYACTCACTCTCTCACAGCACTCAGATCACAGCCAGCCATCACTGCCCCCACCTCTACTCCCCCACCCCCCCCACTGCTGTTCCCACCTCCTCCCACACCTCCACCCTCCCCCACACCCCCAATCACCCTGCCCTTGAGCCCCGATCTGTCCCTCACTGCCGACCAGGTGAGGAGAGAGCTCAGGAAGATCAAGGTGAAAAAGGCTGCAGGTCCGGACGGCATCAGTTCCAGGCTCCTCAAGTCCTGCGCAGACCAACTCTGTGGGATTGTGGAGCACGTCTTCAACCTGAGCCTGAAGCTGGGGAGAGTTCCACAACTGTGGAAAACATCCTGCGTGGTGCCGGTGCCAAAGAYGCCGCACCCGAAAGACCTCAACAGCTACAGGCCAGTGGCGCTGACATCGCACCTGATGAAGACACTGGAACGGCTGGTCCTCGTCCATCTCCRCCCTCTGGTTGGACCATCGATGGATCCGTTGCAGTTCGCCTACCAGCCCAGCATCGGGGTGGATGACGCTGTCATCTTCCTCCTGCACAGAGCCCTCTCCCACCTTGAAAGGCCTGGAAGCACTGTGAGAGTCACATTCTTCGACTTCTCCAGTGCTTTCAACACCATCCAGCCTCTGCTTCTGAGGGACAAGCTGGAGCTGTCAGGCGTGGATCACCACCTCACATCATGGATTATAGACTACCT